AGTGCAATGTCAGGGACAAGCTAGAAGCTAAGTCACAGAAATATACATTCATTAGATACGGTATTGATGAGTTTGGATATCATCTGTGGGATGATAAGAACATGAAGATCATTAGGAGTAGAGATTTCATATTTAATGAAGAGGTGATGTACAAGGACAGGGATAATACCAAGAATAGCCAAAGTAGTGGGAGCGGCACTAAGAATGCAGGTGGATCTGAGTATATTGATTTGGAGGAACTTCCAGATAGGGGAGATAATGTCAATCTTGACCGAAGAACGGATGAGACTCTAGGTGCAGAGACTACTACCCAGGGCTAGGAGCTTAGGAGGTCATCCAGGGTACCCAAACCGAGTCTCAGATATCTTTCGTCACAAGATTACTTACTTTTGACAGGTAGCGGAGAACCAGGAGAACCAGAGTGCTATGAGGAGGCAATACAAATTAGTGAATCTCAGCAATGGGAGCACGCGATGCAAGAAGAGATGGATTCTCTCAACTCCAATGAGACATAGAAATTAGCCTAGCTATCTGCACAGAAGAAAGCCTTACATAACAATTAGTTGTGTAAGGATTCCAACAGCGAGAAGGAGTGGATTATACGGAGATATTTCCCCTATCGTGAAGCTTACAACAATTAGAGTGATGTTGAGCTTAGTACCTACTGAAAATCTCTACATTGAATAGTTGGATGTGAAGAATGCCTTTCTTCATGGTGACTTGGATGAAAAAAATCTACATGAAGTAACATGTTGGTTTTATACAAAAAGAAAAGAAAGGGATTGTGTGTAGGCTCAAGAAGAGGTTATACGGTTTGAAACAGGCTTCAAGACAATGGTATAAGAAGTTTGATAACTTCATGCAAAGCAATGACTATAGCAGATGCAATTCAGATAATTGTTGCTACTTCAAGAGGTTCGAGTCCAGCTATATCATGTTATTATTGTATGTTGATGATATGTTAGTTGTAGGACCGTGTTTAGAGAAGATAAATAAATTGAAGAAGCAGTTGACAAAGGAATTTGCCATGAAGGATTTGGATTTAGCCAAACAAATTCTTGGGATGTGAATCAGTCGGGATGCGGCTGAAGAGATGTTAAAGTTGAGTCAGGCTGAATATATTGAGAAAGTACTTCAGAGATTCAACATACAAAATGCAAAGGTTGTTGGCACACCTCTTGGAATTTAGTTCAGGTTATATGAAGAGCAATCGCCCAAGACGGATGCAGAGAAGGAGTTCATGACCAAAGTTCCATACTCATCAGCCATTAGTAGTCTCATGTATGTGATGGTTTGCACGAGGCTGGATATCACCCATACAGTGAGAGTTGTGAGTAGGTTTGTAAGCAATCCGAAGAAGCAGCATTTGGAGACCATGAAGTGGATATTGTGATACTTGAGAGGGACTGCAAATATGTCACTGTATTTTAGGAGAAAGAAATTAGTACTGTAGGGATACATGGATGCAGACTTTGCCGGTGATCATGATACGAGGAGAAGTATCACGGGTATGTTTTTACCTTAGGGTCGACAACAGTGAGCTGGGTCTCACGTCTGCAGAAGTTTTGATGTTGTGCACGACTAAGACAGAGTATGTCATAGTAACTGAAGCTAGCAAGGAGATGATTTGGTTAACCGGATGTCTGGAAGAGTTGGGTCTGAAGCGGGGAAACGAAGTTCTTTATTGTGATAGCCAAAGTGCTATACAGCTTGCCAAGAATCTAGTATATCATGTCAGAACGAAGCACATCAATGTGCGTTACCACTTCATACACTCGCTGATAGAGGACAGAAAGTAACAATTGGAGAATATTTTGGGGAGCTAAAATCCTGTAGATATGTTAACGAAGACAGTGACCATCGAGAAACTAGAGTTGTTAGCAACTTCAATTGACCTTCACGCGTAGGAGATGAGGGCAGAGCCACACTAGGAGGACAAGTAGGATCACCAAGAATGATATTGATTGAGGAAAGAAATTCTCTGGGTAGGAGAAGGTGCTTGCTAAGTGTTTGGTGGAAATTTTGTGAAATAAAAATAAAAAAATGTGTTTGATTTTATTCTCTCTAACTGCTTAGAAAAAGAATGTTTACAGCTCTCTCAATCTTAATTACAATTTAGATTTTCTGATTACAAAAGAGAAGAGAATTGATCTGGATCCTTCCCTTTGTTTAAGTCTGGATTCTTCACGGTGGCGATGGAGTGCCTTCCTCGAATGCTCGCGTCGAGTTTGTTCTCTGTTGACGATTTGAACATCTTGTTTCACTAGAACGTGGTCTTCTCCTCACGATTTGACGCTGTGGAGAACTTGCAAAGCAAGTTTTAAAACTCCGAACGAGTTTAGAAGAACTTGCAGAGCAAGTTTGAAACTCTGAACGAGTTGATAACTCAGAGCGAGTTTAAACTCTTGAAAAAGAGTTAATATGAACTGAAAAATAGGTTAATAAGCTAAGGAAATGCTCCAAGAACTTTGTTACTGTAGGAAGCTCGAAGATGATCTTCTGCCGAGAAGATGATCCGAAGAAGCCGATCTCTAGATCTCCAAGATACTCCAAGATCCAAAGATCCGAACTCAGTTGAGTTTACTCCTATTTATAGGGGATTCAGGGGTGTAACCGCCATCTTAATTCACTCCTAAGTGGGGCTGAATGGAGTGTAATCGCCCCCTTAAACTGCTGCCCAAATCGTGGAAAAAATAGTTTTAAAACCGTTCAGTTCGTGCTTTGAATGAGTCAAACGCCAGTTTGGGCATTCTTGGTCCGAACTCTGTGTTTTAGACTTGAAACAAAGAGTTGGGCCTATTTTTGGCTGAAAACATCGTGTTCGCACAGCGTTATAAATCAGAAATGTAGAGTTGGGACGCAGAGATAAACTCCACGTTTTGAGTCCATGAACTCTGCGTTTTTTAATTGGAGCATTAGGGATGACATCTGCGTTTTGACTCTGAAACGCGGGCATGACCTCTGCGTTTTGATGTTGTAGCATAGAGATAACCTCTGCGTTTTGATGGTGTAACGCAGGGATGACCTCTGCGTTTTGATGTAAAGAGACCATTAATTTGTGGTCTCTTTTGCTGGAGCGTTACAAAGACCGTCATCTTGTAATCTTCATCATGGCTCCTTAAAAATATGAGAGTCGTCAGATTGTAACTCTCGATGTTGATTGTGAAGGCTGTTGAACTAGAGTTTTTATCGGTTGTTGTGAAGGTCGTCAGATTATAACCTTCATCGATCTATGTGAAAGTCTTCAAATTATAACCTTCTAAAAGTTGTGAGATTGTAACTTCCATCATCCGTGTTTGATGAGGATCAGCTATCTACAGTGATTTTTAGACAGCCTATACTAAGATGGCTAGAGTTCAAGAGAGCTTGTTGATGGATGTTTGGTTTCCAAGTGGGAGATTGTTAGTTTTAGGGGTGTAGACCCAAACCTCGGAACAAGCAAAACTTTTCCAAGTCTGGAAATCAGGCGAACTTCAGTTTAGGTGAACTTAAGTTCAGGCGAAGCAGGCGAACTTCAGTTCGGGCGAACTTCAGTTTGGACGAAGCAGGCGAACTTCGTAGTTTAGGCGAACTTCCCAATCTAGTTTAGGTAAACTTAAGTTCATGCGAAGCAGGCGAACTTCAGTTCGGGCGAACTTCAGTTCGGGCGAAGCAGGCGAACTTCGCAGTTTAGGCGAACTTCCTAATCTATTTTGGTTTTAGGGTTTTCCTATAAATAGGGTACTTTGGCCGCCTTTTCCTGGGCATTTTTCTGTGCGATTTTTTGCAGTAGACTTTGAACACCCTAAGAGAGATTTCAAAGAGAGAGATTTCTCTTTTGCAAGTTTTGTAATCTTCTTCAATAATCAAAGAAATTCTGGTGTGTCTCCTGAGGATGTAGGCATATTTTCCGAACCTCACTAAATCTGGTGTTCTCTCTTTTATTCGTTCTTTCCTATTTCTTTGTTTTGCTATGATTTCTTTCTTATTATTTACTCATCACAAGATCCGGAGGGCACGTTGCGTAGAGATTTTTTGACAGGTTGTCGAGATATTAACCCCAACTGTAAGGACCATGAATTTTCAATACTAGTTAAAATAATTTTCTAGTATTTTAAAATATTTAATTATGATTTTTAAAAGAGTATTTGTATTTTTATTGAATTTCTACAATTTTCTATGATTTAAAGTCTAAGTTTTATATTTATTTAAATGATATTAATATTTATAAATTAATTTTATGCGGTGAAAATTTATGTAATTTATTTGTTGCATTATCGATGCTGTTACATGTTATTTTAAATAATACGTTGTATTATTTTTATTATTACGTACACTTTCATATAATATGTTGTATTATTAATTACGTATTATTTGTATAATTTGCTGTATTATTTCTACTGTTATATATTATCTGTCGTATTAGTATAACTTGTACGTTTTACTGTGTATATAATTATCCCATAATTGATTGATTTTAAATATAAGTAAATATATTTTATTTATTAATTATTCTCGTTTAATTATACAATATGGGTATATTTTGACTATTTCGTATCAACTGTTGTATTAGCACAACATGTAGGTTTTTAATTGTAGGTAATTATTTCGTAATTAGTTTAATTTTTTAAATACCGTAATTATTTATTTTAATTATTTTTGTCTTAAACCCTAACCAAAACCCTAATATATAAATATATATATAAATCCTCTCTTCCTCTCTCTCGTATTCAGTCCGCCGCCACCCCCTCTTCTCTCTCCTCGACCCCGATCTCCGCCGCCTCCACCTCGTCGGCCCGACCACGAACCCTCACCCGCCGCCGACCTCAACTCCGGCCACACTGACCAGCCACCCGCCGCCCAAGCTCGTCGGAGCTTCGCCTCCGCCAGCCCCTCAACCCCGCGTCTCCCTCTCGTCATCAAGCCCAAGACCCGACCTCCACCGCATCTCCGCCAACCCCGCTTGACCGCGCCGGCCAACCCTGCGCGCGCGTTGCCGAACTCCAGCAGCCGTGGCCCAGCTACCCATCACCGCCTGCCCCAGCTCTCTCAACCCACAGCAACCCAACTCCTCTTCCACCACCACCCGCTATCACCTCCTTCCCTCCTTGACAGTTGCCTGAGCCGCTCGTCCAGCAGCCCTCGTCGTCGCCTGAACCATCCTCGTCGAGCTCCTCATCACCGCCTCCGCCTTCACCGCCGCCACGCCCATCTCTCACAACGAACAACCACCAACACCCCTGTAACCGCCCACCTTCAGATCCGCCTGTCGTCGTCCTCTTCCTGCTGTTTGCGCCATCCTCGACCCCTCCTCCATTGCCGAGCTCCGACCATCTCTTTCGCGCTGCTGCCCTCAGCGTTGTCACACGCCGCTGCCTCCCTTGTAGTCGTAGCTCTCGACTCCGCCGCACGCGTCGTTGAAACAGTGAGCAGCGAACATCGACAACCTCCACCCGTTTCAGACCCATCGTATCGCATCCGCATCAGCACCGTCGCCTCATCATCAGACCACACGGTATCGCAGGCAAGATCCCGTTGCTTAGTTGCCATTCTTTACATTTTAGATTGTTATGAATTATCTGCATAGTTTGAATTGTGAATTGTTATTATCTGTGTGGGACTATTGACGGTGATATTAAATGATTTCAAATGATAAATTAATGTTTTTATAGATTAATTATTATTATTATGAGAAATATATTTTAAAAGAGTTACTTTGGAAAAATGGTTTAATTTGAATTATTATAATAATAAATAAGTTGAAAGAATTTATTTTGGAAAACGGGTTAGTTTTGGATAATTATAATGCTAAATAATTTTAAAGGATTTTTTTTGGAAAATGGATTATTTTTAAAGGAATCTAATTTTTTGAAAAGATTATTCTTGGAGTTAATCAATTTATGATCATGATGATTGGAAATTGCGACATTTCATGTGAAATTATTTGATAGTTGTAGTTCCATCTTGCACTGTTATTAGTAGTTGTTCACGTTTCCTGTTTACGATTCATGACACTGTTACATAGTATTCATGGCATTTATACATTGTTATAGTTGAGAATCGCGAGTATTGCTTGACCATAGTGACCCGTGAGATATGAGTTGTTGACTTGGATTTGGGATGGGAAGGTCTGGGTTCATGTTATCAGATATGTTGTTGTTTATTTCCAGGCTCGCACCAGTGAATCGTTTCACTCTGGGATGGGTCTGAGGAGCAGTGATCGGATGTGTTTATTGTTTATTTCCAGGCTCGCACCAGTGAATCGTTTCGCACTGGGGTGGGTCTGAGGAGCGGTGATATTGTTATTATTGATTATTTTCAGGCACGCACCAGTGAATCGTTTCGCACTGGGACGGGTCTGAGGTACTAGTGAGATGTGGTTGTTAACCAGATATCCGATAATGTGAACTTTGACTCTGTGTGAGATGTGAACCAGTGACCTGTTATACGATGGCTAGTTACATGACTCGTTTCTTGGCTAAGTATGAATCTTGTGAGATGTAGATCAGTTGTATTTCTTTCATACATAGATCAGGATTAATATTTAATTATCTACAATTTGAGACATATGGTATATACATGAGGGTTTCCTTGTTTGGATTATTTCGCTCGACGTACTACGTCTCGAGTTGTAGATTTTTAAGTATTAATTTCATCTAGTGTATGACCTTGTGACTTGGATGATTTCTGATCGCTAGCTGCATGATCGTCTTGTTACTTGATTGATTTTATTGGATTTCCGTTGCATGTTTCTTTATCATTTCTGTTGTTATATCGTTTTCGCATTGGGTTTTCGTTCGCTCTATTTGGTTTGTGGGGTCTTGCCATGTGCCATGCACCCTGACGTACACCTATTTTCTCTGGTGTACGTCAGACTTAGAGGAAGAACAGGTCCAGCTAGAGGATTCTCAGTAGGAGTACCCTGTAGACGGAACAGAAGAAGGAGTCGAAGACTATTCTTTTAGTTTTCTTTTGTAGCATTTCATTTTCCGCTTGATCATTGTATTTTATTTCTCCAGTATTCTTTTGTTCAATTCGTATAAAGGCACGTTTGACCTGTATTATTATGTCTCGGATGTTATCACATTTGTGATATGATATTTTTATTCTGAGCTTGTCTATTATATTCTTGCTGATTGTGATCGGGGACCTGTGACTTCGCATTGTATTTATTTCTAGACGCTTAGCTTATTGGATTGAGAAGAAAAAGAAAAAGAAAAAATAATAATAGTGTATATTTCTTCTCAATCTAATACGTCGCGGGCTTGTTCATATTCCGATTCCCGGGTATTTTGGGAAGCGGGGCGTGACACCAACAATGTGTTAATTGTGACTTTGAAATTTCTCTTTTTTTTATGGTGGGGGTTGGTGTAAATTTGAGGTAAGGGGGATAATTTTGTAGACTTTACTTTATGGTGTTATTTATTGGGACAATAGGATTGAGATTTTACTTTAAGATGTTATTCATTGGGACAATGAGATTGGAAGAATTACTAACATTTTTTTAAAATTATCTTATTTCTATACAAACTTTCTATTCCAGCTCCAAAAATTACACATTCTTAACTTTAGGACAATCACGTGAAAAAGTGGGATAATTTTGAAGCATTGATTTATTAAATATCTAATACATGTCAATTGTACATCATATATAATATATGTTAATTATATCACATTATGAAATTATGCTATAACCTAATATAATAAAATATTATATAATATTATCTAATATAGCATTATTATATATTATTATTACCTATTAGTTAATAATATTTCATATATTATAACATTAGTATTGTATTATTATAATATTACTTTATATTTTGTAATATATATTTTGTTCAATAAAAATATTATTGTAGTATTTTTACGATATAAAATATTATATTATAATTTAGTGTTTATATATTTAATATAATAATATATTAATTATAGTATAATTCAATTTTATATGATAATATATCCTATTATATAGAATATTTTAATTTATATAATAATTTACTATTTTCTATTACAATTTATCATCTTAATTAATAGTCTTAAATATATATTCACTATTGTGGTAGTTATAATATTAAATAATATTTTATTGCTACAATAAAAATAGTAATAATCTACTATATATTAAAGTGATATTATATATAAAATTAATATAATATAATATATTAATTAATAATATTCTTTTAACTAATAATATTGAACATATTAATAATATATCATGGTTGTTATAAATGTTATATTTTAATAAGAAGTCATGTCATCAATTATCCCATTTAAATTATAGTACTTATATAAAATATAATATTATATTTTTAATAATAATATGATGTTTTAAATAATAATTTATAAAATAAAAAAATATATTATAATATTTATACTATATTAAATTAAATATTATATTATTGAAATATTATATATTAAATATATTGTTCCTATATTATATCAATTATCATATAATATATCATAATATTATAATATTTTAATTAATAATATTAAACATAGTTATAATTAATTAGTAATTATAACATAACATATTATATTTTAGTATAAAATAAAATAACGTATTATATATAATAACATACTAAATAATATACTAAGCCAATTGAATAAATTAATTTTGACTTAATTGATAAATAAATATTATATTTTAATAAGATTTCACATCATCAATTATCCCACATGAATTGCTAAATTAAACCTTTAAATTGTCTCATTATCCCAACTTGTCTCAATTTACTTCGCTCAAAATATCCTAAAAAGGATAAAATTATTTAATTAGAATAATTATCTCAGTTAATCCCAACTTATCCCAACTAATAACCCCTCCAACTTTTCTGGTATTTCTTTGTGAGTATGTGATCTCCTTCATTTTTCCCTAAGGGGGGGTTAGTCACCTAGAACTTAAAATTAGAACTGAGATAATCTGTGGGATAAAATTTTAAGGTGTTAGTCACATAGAACTAAACCTAGAACAAAATTTTAAGGTGTTAGTCACATAGAACTAAAACTAGAATAAAATTTTACAGTGTTAGTCAAGCAGAACTTTAACAAAACTAGAATTGGGATAATTGTACAAAATTATCCCACTTTTTTTATTTTTCTATACAAAAATGAGAGTTCTAGTCTCTCAAATTATTCCAAGTTTTAGCTTGGAACTATGTGGTAAAAAACTAGAACTCGTATTTATTTTGTTATTTTTTATTTTTTTCTTTACTTATTTCCTATTATGGTTATCACCATCATTAAACCATCATCATCATAATAATTGTCAATATCTTATAGTCTAACCAAAAGTTATTTAATAGTAACGAACATTCTTGTAAGCAATTATCAATTAATAATAGTAAGTTTAAAATACATAAATAGTATTTATATCTTCAAAATGCATAAATATATACTTCATGATTATAAAAATTTATCCCACGTTATTTTATCAAAAATATCCTGCTTCACAAAATTGTTCCTAGTTATCCCACTAAAATATCCCACTAGCGAAATATTATTCCACTTTAACAATTATCCCATTTTGCATGAAAATGTCCCAATTGACTAACACCCCCTAAAGGTGCACATTTTTGTCTAACTGTGTAGGTACGCTTTTGGTTTGTTTAAGTACAACATTAATTGATGATGGGAAAACCATAAGGACCCTCAAACACTAAAAAAATAACATATAGAGTAAATTACAGAGCTTTAAGAATTTTGCACTAGATCCCAATAACTTTCAAGATCACACTAAACCCTCAACGTACAACTTTTAGAATTGCAGAATGCTGCCAATAAATTTTCACATATTCCAAATAACCCATAAATTAGAACCAAAAGACAGCATATAAAGGCAATTTGAAAGTTATTAGGGGTTTAGAGTAAGTTACCTGAAAATCTAATAGAAAGCTCTCTCTCCATATGATTTAACTATAGGAATAAAAATCCTCCAGAGGGTTATTTATGTAAAAGTATAATAAGTACAACGCAGCTTATACATTTCTGTTAATTTTAAATCAGTTTAATCAGTTAAAATCAACACAAGTAGCTAAAAATATCATAGTGTAATTTGCATATTGAATGCAATCAAACAATAACCGAAGCAATCACCAACGTAGAAAATGATAATTAGATATATTTACCATACTACTTCTTGGTGTATGATTTCTACAGACTGGCGTCTACAAGATTTGTTGCATTCTTCTCTATAGTGATTAGAGGACCTAGAAATAGGATAGTTTTAAGGCATAGCTGACGTGGCATTATTCGTGTATGATTTCTAGAGTTAGGCGTCTACAAGATTATTTTTTTAGATTTAAATCTAATTGTGAGCACATATGATTAATCATTGTGTATTGATATCCTTAAGGATAACCCACTTAAAGTGATCAATCAATTTGGGTTAATAGGTATTTAAATAAATCATGGGCTAAATGTGTAGATACCAGGTTGTAATTATAATTTGATGATGGGCCAAATTATA